AGTAGGCAACACTGAGCACACACACTCCTATTCTTACACATGCTCCGCCACGCAGAGCCCACGTCGTAAATGAAATGTAAATTTAATGGAAGCCAAATCTCCTTATATTCCTGCTCCAGTTTAGCAGACTAGCGCAGTATCTGTGGGGAAAGATATCAGCCAACAGCTGCCTGCTACTTGCAGATACATGTGAAATAACAGGATGAGTCTGTGTAACTGCTCTGCTTTTTCTCAAGCATCATACCTGCTGCTCCAGTTACAGAGAAGTGTCAGTGTACATGTATGCTGTGCGTGGGCGGCTTACAGACATTTTCCCCCTGGGGACTGTGAGCAGCAGAAAGTGTAAGGCTGTGTGTGCGAAGATGGCGATACCATTTTGGCCTTCACACCTCCGTTTTATGTGTCATCGTGGCTGATCATACAATACAAGTCATGTCATTGACACAAGGGTGTGTGTAATCCAGCTGCACAGGAGTACACCACTAATTTAGCACTGCATTCTTGTAACACAGTCATACTCAGATCCAGCAGGACCAGAAATATTTTTCCACACATTCCTCTGCCTTGTCAAAACCCGGTGCCTACATTACCCACAATGCAACCTGACTGTTGTCAGTTTTCTCAGAGATCTGTAAGTGTCATTCCAGTAGCAGCTTATGTATCCCAGAGGTCCTAGCCTCAAGCAGAGATCAGAGTTTGATGAGTAAAAGTTAGTGTAGTTTGCCTTTAAGGGCAACACACAGTGAACACACCTGAAAACACCTGAGCCCATTGTTTTCAATTAAAGTCCACAAACTGGTGGTGTCATGACAAGTCAGCATGGGTTCACTTGACATGATACTTCACAGGAGCTCGCTCAAAGTTCAGTTCACATCAATTAAAATTAACTAGTTTGTAGAGCTACCACTAACAACTATTTCTATCGATTAATCTATTGACTATTTTAATTAGTCGTTCAATCTAAACGATTAATTTTCCTCCAGAAAACTGACACTCTGACATGGTCATTAAGCTCAGATACACTTATTCAGTGTAAATTCTCAGGCAGCAGCAACCACTTTATGACTTTATGAGTCTTTATCAGCTACAAGGACCAAAGATATTAAGAAGCTCTGTCTACTAATGAACACACACTTACACATGAAGTAATCCTTCACATGTTTGTGACTCAGATTACCGTGCGCCATCAAAAATAATAATCACAAAAGAACACTGATTAAACAAGACTTAGAGTGAAGAGATTTGAACTGTGATGTGCTCATCCTCCCAAATGATGATCATGTCTGTGGTTTGTGTATAACCCGTGCTGTGGAAATGGTTTACCTGACATTTAAGGCATTGAAAAAGGAGCTGTCCAGATCACTTTAGTATTTATTAAAGTTAATAATGTAATAATAATAATAATAATAATAATAATAATAATGATAATAATAATAATAATAATAATAATAATAATAATAATAATAATATTAATAATAATAATTCTTTATTTATTTAGTACTTTAACGCACAGGTTGCAGCTGAATGTGCTAAGTGAACGTGTTAAGATAAAATAAAATAAAAAATAGTAAAAAAAAATAAAAAAACAAATAAATAATAGATAATAAAAAAATAATAATAAGTCAAAGTTAACATCTTTGACCGTGTTCTGACTGTCAGTGTTAAAGCACCACTCTCCTCTACAACAGCTGAGCACTGCAGTGCAGCATTTCATTCACACGCCAGTGAAAATGAAAGAGTGTGTGTATATGACTGGGTCTGTGCGTTGGTGCAGCTGAGTCTTGAGTTCTGATGTCTCACTTAGCTCCAATGCTTTGACAGTGAATGAGTGACGAAGAGTGGTTGTGTATACATACACACACATGCACAGAGTATCTTCTTCTTTGGTTTCTTTTGTGGTACGTCAGGACACTTAGTTAAACACAGGGAGGTGTGAGCTTCAGCTTGTATCGATGGAGGACAGTTTTTGGGGTCAAATACAGCAGCTACTGGAGGAGCTGGTTTCAGGTTATTGGAGCCAAAGGAGGTTCAACCGGTTATTAAATCCAAGGTTTCTGTCATCAGGAGTGTGTGTGATGGAGGTCCATGAGTGAAGGCTACCTCTGCTCTCAATATATAACCCACCTCCCCTGTCCATGCCAGACAACCCTGCTGTATCTGCTGCTGTCCGATCGGTCCTGCATCTGCTAAGACAACCTGGGTATTGTCTTCTTGGACCCCCCCCACCCCCTGTGACTGTTTGTCTCCCTCAGGATAGCAAAGGAACGCAGAGGAATGGCGGGACCACAGAATACATCCACTTCCTGTCTGGCCCAGCATTTGACCCACACTTTTTCCTCTGGTCTTTGTTCTTGCACTCACAAATATGCTCCTCCCACCTCTACACGTCATCTTTAACAGAATAAGTGCAGCAGACGAAGCAGCTCTTCTTCTTGCATGGATGTCACCTACCGTGCATGTATGGAACTTGTCCTCAGAGAGTATAAATGACCGTGTGTCCGTGGTGTCTGCAGCTGTCTGTGTACGCGTCCACAAGCCAGTATAGCTGAAGGCAAAGCCAGGCTAGCTTGCTGGGAGCTAACGTTAGTGCTAACTTGGTTTGTTGAAAATTCCAAACAGCAGCTGGAATCAAATTACAGCTAAATGCTTTCAGAGTTTACCAGGAAGTCCAGCGCTGCCACTAGAATTCACTTCACGCTCTGTTACGAGTCTGAACGACTCAAAGTTTTGAGACGTCACGAGTTTTTCAATTGTTTAAGTTGATGAATTAAAACAGTAACGGAGCATTATAATTTGAAGACAGGCTCATTTTAATCAGTAGTCTGTTTGCTGCAGCGGTCGTGTTTACTTCTTTTCACTTCAAAAATCAACTTAATATGGAATTTACCCAAACCGTACACCTGTATATGCCTGTCTTTAGCAGCCGTACAGAAGTGACTGGTCTGTTTGTGTTTCGCAGGCATTCGCACTCTAACACACTATAATTTATTCCTGCATTTACCAGCTGTTATTTGCCTTAATTGCTCTGGGCAGGTTTATATTTATGAAACTGTGACATGCAGACTAATGGATTAATTGATCGCTGTGCGCTGAGGGGAGGCTTGTTTTTATTTCATATATATGCTCGGTGTCAGACAAGATTGTTTTCATTAGAGGTGAAGAGAAGCCTGAGATCAGCCCACAGCTACTCTCACATGGCGTACTCTCCTCACTGCAGCCGGAGGCGATCACAGACCCTGGAGGGCCACAGGCAATTTACAATTTACAGATGTCCCCTAAATGCCTCACATGCAGGCAATGGGTAGACGCTAGCTAGCACATCATCAGGGGCAGCAGCACTGTGTAGTGTTTTTATTGAAGGTTTAAGGGGGTTTATAGACGTCATTGCAAAATGTGCCAATATGAGGGGCCATTTCCGGGGCCCCTTTTCCCCTTAGAGGCCCCAAATATTTGCCTGGTTTGCTTCTCCTGACACCTCTGTGCACTTCTGCCTGCAACATGTACAATATCCAGTTGCAATATGGTTGTATTTAAGCCACTTACATATGTAGCGGACTAGCTATCCAGGCTAACTGAAATGAATCTGATGAATCTCTGTTTAAAAACATTCATTCATATTGAGTCGGTCCTTCTTGCCTCTTTGTCATAAAGGTTCTTTTCTTTATTTCTCAAATATGACCTTGGGACTGGATCACAGAAACCTCCTAACTTGCAGAACCTACCTTAACTGTTTGGTAACCATGGTGATTAGGGTTAGGACCTGATTTAGGAAAAACTAGAATTACCACCTCATGGTTGTCTGTCACATCCCTGTTTATCCAGAGTCATATAAAATATGAACCATTTGTGTGAAATGTCGTCATAATTGTGTGAGAATTGTGAGTCCTAGTGAATGTTTGTGCCAAAAGTTCTGTCCAGGCCTGACTGAGATATCATCACAACCTGAAAACAATATGGCTCCTGCAGTCACCGGCGCAGAGGAATAAAAAAGCCATTACAGATGAGTAGTTCCTAAGTCAGTGTTTGTATCCTTACTGAAGACATGGGGAATTGTTTTACACAAACTAACCAATTCAACCAAATCTGTCCTGACTCTCACGTTCCCACCTCTTAGCTCACGTGTTTCATCAGCTCTTTTATTGCTTTTACAAAACCAACACACACCAACAATCAACAGGCTGAACTTATTCACTGATGACAGACCCTAACAACGTGGTGACGTTTGATGAGAAAGCGTTCGCGTGTAGATACAGCTAGGTAACAGACAGAAACGTTTACAGCCGATGTTGGACTGAGTGTTTAGGATTTCCGTACCTGGGATAAGACAGGATTCCTAAAGTTAGCCATGATTTGATTCTGTAATAACATGAGACAGGAAGTTACTGTAATACGGCTCCTGGTCTTTCACTGGGGAATGATTTGCTGTCATTTGTCCACGTGGTCTTCATCAGGACACTGTTCAGACACATCAGATCCTGCTCAGCTTCATCATCCTCTTTGCGTGTAGAAACAGAAGCTTTGACTCTCTTACTTTGATATTGGCGACTTTCAAATAGATTTATATCACAGCTGATATTTTATCTCACACTGATGAGCATATCAGTATTTCACAAGTTGGTACAGTCTCATTTCCCTGAGCCCTGTGCATTGCTCTGATCAGCCCTTGTGCTTCATCACATCAACATCGCTTTGTAAAACGGGGAAATAGCTCATGAATAATACAAAGTACAGGTCAGCGGATGAAATGAACCGAGAGCTGAACTCTGTGTGAACATGTGAACGTTAACTGAACCTTGGTAATGTAACTGTAACTGTGCACTGTGTGGGATTCACCACAAACATGAACTGGGCTGGGCGCTGCTCTGAGAGTTAGACCAGAGGTCAGAGCAAACACTGGTGATGCATTTAGCTTTTTCTGCTCTACTAACCTCTCTCAATCACCTGCTCCGTTCTGTACAGTCTTCCTTCATCCTTTACATCATCATCCTCTTGTTTCCCAGGCTCAGGACCCCCTGCAGACCAGACGGTGGTTATCGAGGAGTTTCGATACCTCTCCCAGAAGCTCTTTGTGTCTGTGTCTGTCTTTGCCGGGTTGGGAATCCTGCTGGGAATCATCTGCCTCACCTTCAACATCTACAACAGCAACGTCAGGTAGAGAGGCTCGTCTGGACTAATCAATATTCTCATATGAACAACGGCTCAATCACTAATCAGAATCGAAAAGAAAACTTTATTGATCCCTGCAGGGAAAGTGCTTTGTTACAACTGCACGACACACAGTTAAGAAAGAAGCATATAAGTAAAAAACTACTGCCAGACCTCTTTAGTATGAGCATTCAGCAGGCCCAGGGTGTCTGGAGCCTCACAGCAGCAGCTACCTGCTCAGTACCGAGCAGCAGACAGAGATAAAGACTACTGTATGCATAGAGTTATATACTATAGGAACTATTATACAGTAATAGACCATAATGCCTTTCTGCAAAATAATTGTTACAATACACAAAAGTGGACTGCACATAGTTGCACAAACCAGTTTTTTGAGAAGCGAAGTCGTCCGTCCCACAGCCTGATACCTCTGGAACACCTGCAGGGAATTTCGTTAGATGTGTCACAAACTCAAGAATGAACTGATGAGAATGTGGATAGGTTTTAAACACACATTTACTGACTGAAGCGTCTCACTCAGAGGAATACCAACCAGTGGATGAGACGCGACAGACCCACCTACGAGTCTGTGCGGTGGCTAAAAGGCTCGCTCTCAGTTCAAACAGAAACACACTGTCGTCTACTGGCAAAGAGCTGGAGGAATTGGCGGGAGAGGGGTATCAGATATAATATACAGAACTTAATCCACATGAAAACACTTTCAAGGTAAAAAAAAAGATGTGAAGGGGGCTGGTCCTGACGGACAAAGTCACAAGTTAGTAAAACCAGTGTGAAGTGTAATCTGTGAAGCTTGGTCTCTATCTCAGGACCAACACTGTGATAATGATGCTAATCTAATCTGTGGAGTAATTACAGAGCTCTGTGTCTATGTTGATGGTGTGAGGCAGACCGCTGGATCCAGACTGACTATAGTCTGGATTCCTGACACACAGCTACTATTCTGGACTGGGTGATGACTGAATATAACAGTGAGGGCCTTGTGTGTCTGTTTTATATGTGCACTGGGAGATAGAGCCTGTGACAGACACAAATACTCTGCTGAGCATGATTGTGTGTGTGTGTGTGCGCGCGCGTGCATGTGTGTGTGTGTACACTTGTGCAGTCTGTCTTTTTTCATTGTGACCCTGAGATTGAACCTTTGTTTTTCTGGTTTGGTTCGACCGTTAATATCAGCTGGCCTGTCATTGGCTGTGTGTAAGTGTTTGAAGTGTCCACTGTTGGTGTGTGAGACCTGAAAGTATTTGACCTGTTTTAGCTGTAGAATAAACTGAGCTGACATGTGACAGATGAAAGCAGGTGACAGCAGCGAAAGCACGTGACACGTCACCTCCGGTGTGAGAGACTCAAACAGCTGACTGGCTCTCGGTGAATGTGTGTGTCTGTGCTTCTGCTCCAGGTACATCCAGAACTCTCAGCCATACCTGAACAACATGACTGCAGTGGGCTGCATGATGGCTCTGGCTGCTGTCTTCCCTCTGGGCATCGACGGCCTTCATGTCCACAGGAGGCAGTTCCCTGTGGTCTGCCAGGTAGGTCCAGTCCAGGTACCGTGCTCTAGTCTCACACATTCAACTGAATGTCAGGTCCCTGTGGTGAAGAGGGATGGGTATATAAGATTTGAACGGTAATTTAACAGAACTCTTATTGATCTGGTCCTTTAACTTTACTCTTATTGATCCGGTACTTCAACGGTTCTCTTATTGATCAGTACTTTAAGGGAACTCTTATCGATCCAGTCCTTTAGCGGTTCTCTTATTGATGCAGTCCTTTAATGGTTCTCTTATTGACCAGTACTTTAACGGTTCTCTTATCGATCCAGTCCCTTAACGGTTCTCTTATTGATCCGGTCATTTAACGGTTCTCTTATCGATCAGTACTTTAATGGTTCTCTTATCAATCTGGTTCTTTAACGGTTCTCTTATTGATCCGGTACACTAACACTTCTCTTATCTGTACTTTTTGTTATTTTTTAAGAGAAAGAAAAAACAAATGAAGAACAGAAGGAACGTGCCGCTTTATTTTCTCACATGTACTCTATTAACATTCTTGACTAACAACCTTCAACAGCACTGAACAAATCACTATTATAGACTGATTTTATAATGATGGAAATGTAAAACAAATGTGTTAGTAGTGTAGTAGGAGTGACCTTTAGTTTTTCTCCATTGTCACTAAGAGCAGGGCCGCAGGACACACACACACAGACACAGAGAGAGAGAGAGGTAGAGAGAGGTCTCCTCTGTGTTGGGAACAGTGAAAATGCATCATAGATGAATGTCTTCATCAGAAACAGAGTTGGTGAGATAAGATGTGAAAGAGAACGTTTATGTCGCAATAATAAATCTTTTTTCCTAATTTCTCCAGCACAGAGAGCAGAACCGATAACGTCAGAGCTTACAGATACCACAGTCTTTAAAAATGAAGCCCCGGGATCTGTTTAATACCGAGTTTCAGCACCCATCCGTAGTGGTGAAGCCGGGCTGTACGTACTGATAATTCTCACTGTCAGTTTGACTGACGGTTCCAATGATGAGAGCTGCACATCACAGATTAACAAGTGTCTAACAAAACAATTCCAACTCAAGACCCACTGGATCGTTTAAGCATATTGCACATATTGTCTTCATTAGCAGATGGAGTTCTCTCAGTTGTCATGGAGATGGATCTGTTGACATGTGACCTCAGTAGCTGATGTTGATACCCTGATCAGTAAACATGTTTTTAGCACTTATCATTACACAATATCCTCAGGTGTAGGAGGTTTCAGCAACAGGCATCCTGAGTGGAGTAGGGGTGGGGGGGGGGTACGGGGGTAATATACTGTTTAGAGGTGTTGACAGCCTGTCAGCTAACTGACATATCACAGCCGCCGTCTCCACAGCAACTGATACACACTGTAAGATGGAGGAGGCTGCTGTTGGTGAGCTTCTGTGTAGAGGAGACGTTTGTTGAGCTTTGTGAAATGAGCAAAAGGAGGTCCAGAGTATATTTAAAGGTCTGTACAGTCTAAAGGTCTCTGTCCATGTGTTGATTGATTATAAAGCAGGTCATGGTTCCATATTAATACTGTGAAAGTATCAAAGCCTCAGTCCACAGAGAAATGCACACAGCCTGTATTCAGACACTGAACCTTAAAACCAGCCGTCTGGAACTTAGTGATGTCACAACAAAGCTGTCACCGTTCTCAGCGACGCCCACCTGGACCCACCATCCCACCCTGCAGGATTTGGTTTCTCTGAGTGTTTACCTGAAATCAGAAGAGAGGCTCAGAGCCTCCTCTCTTCTGATTGGCTCACTGACCTGTTGTTACTAGAGCTCCAGAGAGAAGCCTGAGAGAGGAGATGTAAAACTACACTGAGATGGTTTTTGGTTCTTAAAACCACAAATATATCTTCTTATGGATCAACACTTCAAAGAAAACACAGAAGAAGAGGAAAATATGGAGCTTTAAAGCTTCTTTAAGCAATTTTCATAACCAGGGGAGAGAAGACAATAAAACTCACAGAAGTAAAGTCCTGATACACTGTTAGGATTTCAAGTTGTTGGCTTATGGCAGCTGTTGCAAACATCTGGCACATTCAGCAGACACAGCAGGAGTTCCCCCTTAAACCACAAATTGCTGTTTGGTGTATTAAAGTTATAATCTATAACTTTTCCACATTAAAATGGCAGAGCTGTTAAACCCCAGATATATTCTGTAGTTTTCAGTTTGTGTCTCAGCTAAGCTCCGTCTTAAACACCCTCTCTGTCCTTTAATCATAGCTCTTCCCTGTCCTGTTGTCAGTTGTGTGACTCTTGTCTGACCCGGTGGCAGACATGTAGCTGTGCGCCGGGACAGGGTGAGAGACAGACGCCTCAGAGGAGGACTTTGAAGGTCATTTTTGAAAGGCTATTAAACAAGGCTGATGGTTAATGACTCAGGAGCTGCTCTGATTAATCTGTTTGATATATTAGTCAGTTTAATTACCAAATCTTTCATCTCTTTTCTTCTCTGCTAGTTTCGCCTGTGGCTGCTGGGTCTGGGATTCAGCCTCGCGTACGGCAGCATGTTCACCAAGATCTGGTGGGTCCACACCGTCTTCACCAAGAAGGATGAGAAGAAGGATAAGAGGAAGGTAAGAGTAACAGGGACCTGAAGCTGTGGATTTACGTACTGGGGGTGAACGATTAAATCCATTGTCAAGCCCGGCGGGGGGGGGGGGGATTAGGCTTTACAATCATTGCTCCCCTCAAGGGCAGCCTCCACGGTGAGAAATGATGTATTCCCCGGGCGAGTGTTATCTCTGTACATTTATTGTCCGCCCTGCTTCCCACAGCGGGGCGGTCGGCCCGCTGCTCGGCTTTGAGCGCTGTATAGCATCGATTTTTGGTGCTGCCTGGCCAGTGAACTCCAGTTGATCCCAGTGGTGGAAGGCCGCTCCTCGCCCCCCCACCCCCCACCCCCAGCCACGCCCCCACCCCCACTCTCCTGTATGTGAGAGGAGACGTTGCTGAGTGTGTATGAGTATTCTTAGCTGGTGAGGGACCATCAGGCAGGATTATTGTATCAAGGGTGGTGTCAAAACTGTTTGAGCTCACTTTGACTGCAGCCGCTGTAGCCTGGCTTCTGAGGGCGGAGGAGATGCTGCTCTAATTCAAACATCCACTGCCATCTCTATCACAGCAGGTAAACAGCATACAAACAGAATATAATTAAAGCTGCAAGCAGCGTAATGCGGACCCTCGCCCTGTGGTGAACCTCAGGGCTGCCGCCAACCTACATTATGTTCCTGTATATCAAGTGTAAACCGTGTATGTCATGTCAGCCAAATGAAGATTGTCACTCCAGGGTTACTTCCAGTTTTCAGTAGGTGACAATGACATCTTATTACTTTGCAGATGTGTTCAGTGTGATACTGTCATCAAACATGACGTTTGGGGCAGACTGGACAATGTATATCTGAGTTATAACAACTTTCTGTTTAATGGTGAAACACTGAAATTAACCATGGCCACAGCTTTCACATTGAGGCATCGTCGAGGTCTTGATCCTTTAGACCAGCTTTGAGGTGGGTGTGGTCAACCTGCTGGCGGAGCACATCAAATTGTAAAACACTGCATTTCCTGTCACTTCAAAGGGTGCTATGATTATAATTGAATATTAGCATGAGATGCATTTAGACTCTTTTCAATCATATACAGTTTGGGGCAGTTTGGACAATATGAGCTGGAGTTATCACAACTTCATGTTTGGTGGCGAAACATTGAAATTCGCTGTGCCGGTCCTCCAACAAAAACTCAAAAGCTTTGCAATTTAGCATTGCAAAGGTCTTAAGATTAGACCGACGAAGTATAATGTCAATTCTCCAGGAGCAGTTTGACGAGTATGACGACGCAAAAATGACACCAAAATAGCAGAGTAAATTCAAAATGGCTGACTTCCTGTTGGGTTAAGGGTATTGGTGCAAGAGGCTTTTTTTGTAGTCCTTGGCATGTTGCATGTACCTACCGAATTTCACACATGTAAGTGAAACACAGGATGAGGAGCGACTTCGTTGAAATTTTCTAGGTGGTGCTATGGAGCCATTTTGTCGTGCTTTTGTGCAAGACCCATAAAATACGTACATTTTCAACAGGCCTGACACATGTGCAAAGTTTCATTCAGAGTTTTTGAGCATGTTTGGACCCTTAAAAAGGCCACTTTCATTCAGGAATAAACGGAACAGTTCCAGTAGCACCAGTCGGTGCTCTGGCCCTAATTAAAGCACAATACATCCACAGAGGGACTGCTGCTGACCTCTGCTGGTAAATATAAACCCAGCTTTATGGTTGGGGGATCGGTGGGGTCATGCTGGGGGATAAGAAGTCAGAAACTGACACATAAGTGGGACCATATGGTCCACAGGTTCTATGAACAAAATGGCGCCAGGGATGGGGACTGAAAGGTCTGATTTACAGACGTACGTCAGGTGAACCCATCCCGCCCCAGATGAAGAGCAATGCACAGCTGCTCCCCTAAACTTCTCAGTGAGGGGTATCTGAGACTGTCCCATCCAGTCCCAACCAGGGCTGAGGTGAAGGGGGTCAAGTTCAGGGGGAAGATCTTGGTCATGGTCCCACATCTTTAATCTCCACTTACTGTTACATAAAGGACATGCTGCTTCCTGGACTGGCACTAAACATTTCTTAGAGATACTCATTAGTTCCACTGTGAAGCCCCTGGGCTGATGCAGTGCTTCATAAGAAGGACGAGCACGCCCGGAGAATGGAGAGGATTCTGTAGAAGTAGTAAGTAGGACAGCAAGAGCCTATTTAAAGTCAATAAGAAGTAGATGCATAGAAGATATTTACTGATGCAGGATGCTCAACTGTTGCCAAGTTACACTCGCTGTCAAAGGAGTGAGATGGAGGGGGTATGAGCTGCGGGATGAGGATGAGGATAAGTGCTGTAGCTGTAGCGGTGATTGTGTGGATGAACAGTGCAGATCATTGTTTGGTGGTGGAGACGGATCAGATCCCACCGCTGCCTCTGTATCTGTTTTCATACTCGCTCCAGCTGAAAAGCCCCAAAGCTTTGATCTAGTGGAATAATGCAACAAAATCAATAAGCACTTTATAGTGTTGGAGCTGTTCCTGCAAAATGTGTCTGTCTCTGAGGCTGAATACATAAAGGAAGAGCGTTATTTACTGTGCGCTCTCATCAGTATGGTCTCTTTGTCTCTCCTCCTGTCATGGCCCAGTGCTCTGAGGGCAGATTGGATTGGCCTCAGTTAGTGATGGATCATTGTTTTCTCGTCCAGCTTTAGGCAAGTCTATTTATGGCTTCATAAATCCCTCCCTCACAAAATCAGAAAAAGAGGATTTGTGCCTTTTCCTGATCCCTCTCCGTGCAGCTGTAGTGACCACCACCCCCCTGTTTCCCAGCAGCACCTGGAACCGTGGAAACTTTACGCTACTGTTGGCGTTCTGCTCGGCATCGACGTCCTGTCACTCATGATCTGGCAGATCGTGGATCCTCTGCACATCACAGTGGAGGTATGATCGTCCATTCATTTGGACAAAATCATTTTAAATCCCTTTTAAAAGATGCACTTCATATCTACTTCTGGATGTGCTGCGTCTGAATAACGTCAGGTTAACTGGGAAGAAACTGTATAAGCAAGTAGCAACAAGTAGAAGACGAGTATGGAAGCTCGGGCTGTATGAAAATGAATGAAATTTGGATTTACATTTTTATGTGCATGATGTATGACACAATAAAAAATCCTGATGATGAAATTGGTAGTTTGGTGCAACCTAAACATTTGAATTGGAATTTTAACTTTAGCACATTTTTAATAAACATTTCTGTAATGTCAGGCTTCTCTCAGGCCATTTAATTTAAATTAAATGTCGTTTTAATTATGATTCATTTCAAATGCAGCAATCCACTTTGAAAATTCAAGTTTAAGTTTAAGTCATGTATTGGACCCTGCGAATATTTAGCATTTTTGCTTTTGCAATGATTTTCTTTTTGTTAACTAATTACATAATCAGTTGTTTTCATTTTACGCCTTTTCAGACATGAAAATGAAAAAGCATTCACCTCTCTCAGCCACGCCCCAAGCCCCGCCCACCTGGACCCACCATCCAACCTTGCAGGATTTGGTTTCTCTGAGTGTTTTTACCTGAAAGCTGCTATATTTTTAATGGATCACTCAGAAAACACTCAGCCAATCAGAAGAGAGGCTCAGACCCTCCTCTACTCTGATTGGCTCACTGACCTGTTGTTACTAGAGCTCCAGAGACAAGCCTGAGAGAGGAGATGTAAAACTACACTGAGATGGTTTTTGGTTCTTAAAACCACAAATATATCTTCTTATGGATCAACACATACAGTAAAGCACAGGAGACCTTTAAATGGATTTGATCTCATATGTTTGTTGACGTACTGCATCACTGTTTTTCACCTGTGTGCAGAAATTCACCAGAGAAGCCCCCAAAGGAGACCTGGATGTTTTGATTCAGCCTTTACTGGAGCACTGCAGCTCAGAGAAGATGAACACCTGGCTGGGTGAGTGGAGCACCAACCTGCAGCACTGTTTCTGTCCTTCATCTGTCTCTGCATCTTTCTGCCTGCGTAACACAACACCAGTGAACACCTGATGAGTGTCTTTAATTTGATAACCTTCTGAAGCAAGTCTTGTTAGAAGTTCGCTGCAATATCATATTGCAATATTTTGGTATGTTTTTTTTTTAAGAAATGTATCTTTATGTTATTTCTTTTGTTCAAGAAACATCCAATTTGAAATTATGGCCAGTTTGCCACTGAGTTTACAATCACACCTTTATGTTTACAAGTTAAATTCATATCAAAAGAAATCAAATGTTTTTCGTGTCGTTTTTTTCATTGTGCTGAAAACAAACCTAATCATGAATTCAAAACTGAGGTACGTACTGAAATGTGAGTTTTGTGTGATGACATGATTACACCCCTAACTATCATGGATCTCTGACTTTCACAGCACAATGACAGGAACTGACACAAACACCTGGCTGGAAGTTGGAAAATTAGAGTAACGGGGCGTCCTGTTAGGGTGCAAACCGCATGGGCTCTAATGTTCCACTCCCGGCCGGCCGGACCGTTTGCTGCATGAGATTCCTGTTTGTCTCTACTGGTTCTATCTAAAAAAAAATCCTTAAAACAAGAGTAACATACAAGGGGATTTGAAAAGTGTTAAATACACTGGTGTGGTCTTTTAAAAAGCTAAATCATGTTCCTCACAGCTGCCATCTTGTCCTTCTCTGCAGGCGTGGTGTACGGTTACAAAGGCTTACTGCTGCTGCTCGGCATCTTCCTGGCCTACGAGACCAAGTCCATCTCCACAGAGAAGATCAACGACCACCGGGCTGTGGGCATGGCCATCTATAATGTTGCTGTGAGTTCGCTTAGTTTTGTGTGTGTGTGTGTGTGTGTGTGTGTGTGTGTTGTGTTGAATTGTCAGCTCAGCCAACCCTCTTAAAAAAAAAAAACATTAAAAAAATAACATAAAATATCAGTAATAATATCAATAAGTATATTGAATGATTGGAAAGGAGGTAGAAACTCGGCCTTTACCTGAAATTGTTCCAGACGAGAGGTGAACTCACACAGAAAGCCTGAGGTTTCTTCCTCTGCTGCGTCGCTGCGACTGCCAGCTCTGCTGTTCTAGTTTGCAGGCGACTCAACTGTTAGATTTCTTTTCATTATAAATGAATTTCTTATTTATTTTTGACAGAAAATGTGACTCAAATGCCACTGTCTCCACATGCAGCTTCCAAAATGGTGAAATAATATATTTATATTTTAATGTCCCCACACCGGAGACAGTCAGAGCCAGAGCAGTATGTTTTCAGGTTGTTTGTCCCATTCTCATGAACGTGATATTTCAGTAACACCTCGAGGGAACTCTTTCAGATTTGGCACAAACATTCAATTGGACTCAAGGGTTAACTGATTAGAATTTGGTGGTCAAAGGTTAAAGGTCAAGGTCATTGTGACCTCACAAAACACATTCTTGGCCATAACTCACAAATTCATTCACTAATTATGACACAATTTAACTGAAATGTCTAACAGGATAATATGAAGTGATGACATTTTATATCCAAAGTGTCAAAGGTCAACTTCACTTTGACATCATAATGTTACAAAAACACTTCTGGCCATTACTCAATGCTGTAACTCCGGAAGGGAAGACTGTGACCATATTTCCTGATTGGTTGAGGAAACAACCGTGAGGAGGTGATTCTAGTTTCATGTCAGGGTCATATTCAGATTCAGAGAGACATTGAAACTATAGTGGAAGGTGTCAGTTTTATGTGATGTTCCTAGCATGCTGTCAGTATGACATGAATAGGTCTATTCTCTGTCTGTTTTGGAGACTTTTATAATTTAAAAAGAGTGATCAAAGTCAGTGATCCAGAGGCTGACATATCCTGATTTTTACAAGTAGTGTGGGTCAAGGTTCAAAAACACTGGATCAGACAAGTCCCATAATGCTCAGCAAACAGTGCACACATTAAAGGTCCCATATTTCCCTCTTCTCCTGTGTTTTATTTGAAGTGTTGATCCATAAGAAGATATATTTGTAGTTTTAAGAACCAAAACCCATCTCAATGTAGTTTTACATCTCCTCTCTCAGGCTTCTCTCTGGAGCTCTAGTAACAACAGGGGTGAGCCAATCAGAAGAGAGGAGGCTCTGAGCCTCAATATGGGACCTTTAAACCATTTTAAGGTGGAATTATCAGCTAAGACAGAATCAGCCCAAAATCATCTTCTTATCAGATCCATGCCGTAAGCTGAAGCACAGGAGACAACATGATGACATCATCAGGCTTTATGTGTAAATTAGCTGACTGGTCCTTTAAAGACCAGTGCATGTCGCTCATGATTATCCTTGCGTGTGAGCAGGGCTGCATTCCCTGATAAAACACTTCACATAAGTTTCACATCGTACTGGGGATGAAGGTTTGAGTTTCCTCCAGACGCTGCTGTGGGAGATGTAGAGGGACCATTAAACATGGATTTATACCTCGACTTACTGAATGGTGACTCGTACAACAGCATTCATTCACCACTGGCACAGGACATTGAATGCACCATTTCAGGGTAATCTGAGAAATAAATCTGAAAGCAAAATGTTCCTGTGGACTGTAACTCTGTGCCTGGCCAGCCTGTCTATATATAGGCTCCATATGAAAAGGCTGATTAGTGTGTGTGTGTGTTTGTGGCTGTAGCTGTTGGCAGCCAGACTAATGTGTTTGTCAGTACTGTGCCTCTCTGCAGGCTCTGTGTTAGTCTGCAGACTTGGTCTTTCACTTCCAATCCTTCAGCAGCACAGACTCTCTCAGCAGGCGCGAGGACTTCTTCTTTGACCTCTCCTCCTTTGTTTCACGCTCTGCTGAGGAAGATCTGCCGTCCTCGGTGGCAAGACTCACCTCCAGCATAATACGTTGTCTTAAATGAGGGCGGAGCCGGCCGGTGGGCTCTGCAGCCCAGTGTGTGTGTCCTTAATGACGACGCCACCACATTCTCACATTCTGCATTAGGCTCTGCAGAAACCGCAGAGACCTGAAGTGACAGGGCTGTGATGTGTCCTCATCATCAGGAATAAAGTCACATGTCAAAAGTCCTCACAGACACATGTTCACATCTGTGTTCCACATACACAAATTCTTCTACCAGCTCTTTCTGCTGCACTTACAATTAGCTGACAATAACATTGCATTATTTTAGTGCACATACCGATAGCATCACGTAGCTTCACATAGCATGAAGTAGCATCACATAGCATCGTGTGGCTTCACATAGCATCACAAAGCATCAAGAAGCTTCACATAGCATCACATAGCATCGCGTGGCTTCACATAGCATCACAAAGCATCAAGAAGCTTCACATAGCATCACATAGCATCATGTAGCTTCACATAGCATCACGTAGCTTCACACAGCATCACGTAGCATCACATATCATTACATAGCATCACATAGCATCACGTAGCTTCACATAGCATCACACAGCATCAAGTAGCATCACATAGCATTACATAGCATCACATAGCATCACGTAGCTTCACATAGCATCATACAGCATCAAGTAGCATCACATAGCATCACAAAGTATTACACAGCATCTATAGCATTACATAGCATCACATAGCATTACGTAATATCACGAAGCATCCATAGCATCTATGGCATCAGGTAGCATCACATAGCATTACGTAGCATCCACAGAATCATATAGCATCACATTAAATCATGTAGCAACACATAGCATTATGTAGCATCAGGTAGCATCACGTAGCATCCATAGAATCACATAGCATCACATCGAAGATAAGTTGGAATATGAAGGATCCACTTGTTCGAACCTTCAGTGTCCAGGAAATGAAGGATGCATTTGAAGGAAACTTTGAAATGGGAGAGTCTAGTCACACCGCTGTGACGCAATCGGTCTTCAGATGCAGCCTCTGAAGGATGAGACCTCTGAATTGAGACACAGCTGCAGTCTGTACCGAAAGCGGCGTATTTGACCTTCATCGCCATGGTTAAAGTAATAAACAGTCATGGCCTTGTTAGGTTTAGGAAAGGTTGTGGTTTGGGTTTTGGTTACTGCCTTAAAATTACACAACAACATAAACCGCTGGTTTCACATTAGTTTCATAACTGTGTTTTGTTGACCCGTCCGTCAACCTTAACCTCCATTAACGTCACCTGACCTCCTCCTTTGCCCCTGTCATAATTACTACGGCCACGAGATGTCGCCTAGCAACAAAACATAACTAGAGGTCATAATAAGCTGCTGCACAGACGACATATGGGCTCGTCTTTTACAGGACGACACTCTCAATGAAACGTACTGCTTGACTTCCATTCTGTACTCACACATGCTTGTGACTGAAACATGACACATCTGTGATAAGTTAAAAGCGGCTCATGATATCAGCTTTTGGGCTTCAGTCTGTCTGAAAGTGCAGGCAGATGAGGTGTGACTGTGACCAGGTTTCTGAAGGATTTTCATCTGCCCAGTGTGAATAACTCTGACATCCTCCCCTCAAGTGTTCTTTCAAGACAGCGCTGCTCTCTGTGTCTATAATTGGCTGGCCCGTGGGCTCTCTCACACAGACGCATGAAGTAGTCAACTGTTCAGGTTTTTCATGTGTGTTGAAGAACAACAAGTTCTTTCATTGCAACCACATTTCACTTGACGGATTGTAAAGTATTCTGCTCTGCATGACAATTTAAAAGATGAGTGAGGCATCTGCTTCTGGTTGCAAATGCCAGTCATACACACACATACACACACACGCACACACACACACACACACACACATACACATACACACACACACACTCAAAGTGGCTTTTTAATCAACGCCATCTCCAGCACGGCTGATTTTGTGATTTTTATTCCCGTTGCCGTATTTTAATTCATCTCGGAGGATTATCCATTATGCACTGAACCCAATTTAAGCCTAAACTGAGTGGGTGAAATGCAAATTGGTACAGGGAAGAAATGTGTATGTGTTGGTTGCTGTGTTTCCTCTCTTCTTCTTTGGTCTGTCAGATTACCCTCTCTCTTTAAAACAAATTAGTTTGATCCCAGAGCTGCTGTCTGCTGTCTCCTGGTTAGCTCCAGGATCTATTTCTGGGATCTACTACATGTTGTGGATAAAAAGCTGCTGTTTGCTCGTTGTGGAACAGGAAATGGCCCATAATTCATTTCAGGGACTAGAGAATGTAATTCCAATAAAATGTGTTTGCACTGTGGAAAACCAAATATTGTCCCCCTCTACTGTATTGGAGTGGACATCAGGAAACCGAATTCAAATCCTGGACAAATAAAAACCAAAAATATCTGCATGGTGAGATATCATCAAAGGAAAATGACAAAACATGTCTCAACCAAAGCTATAGACTGGACATCTGGACTTAGACCCTGTCAAAGTTAATTCACAAGAACCTGCTGCTGTAAACAAAAACATTCAAGTCTCAAGTTTTTACCTGGTCACATGTCTCAGAACTATTGATGACTTGATGACTGACTCAGATTTGCTTGACTTGGACTTGACTCAGACTTGAAACTTGACTTGTAATCGATAGAGTGGAACCACATGATTGGATAGAGACAGGCCAGGGATTTCATCATATTAGGGACAAGGCAGTTTGGCCTTTGGTGACACAAAGATTTTTAGGACACAAAGGCCATTGAGTGATTTGATGCCTATAAACAAATAGCTTGACTTTCTGATAAGAAAAAAAAAAACAAGAAAATTACACAAATTACATGAAAATAAATTATTTTCTTAATATAAATAAAAAAGACATATTTTAAGATACATCATGTTATCATGTATCAATTTATCAGAATCTATAAATATGTAAATATATTTC